CCGTAGAATCTGTCTCTTAGTTCCTAAAATTGTTGTCATCTGCAAGATACTGATCCGTCAGCTCTGTAGCGTATGACAGTCTTCGTTTCTTGTCGTTGGTTAGCACTGCGAATAATTTTCCATCCACACTAAAAGTATGTTTGACACTTTTAAGTCTGTATGCTTCCTTAAGTGTTTCTTGATTCATTCTTGTCAAGTCCTCGAAAACAATTTGTCCTTTTCCCTTCAATTTACGTCTGTTGTTTAGTATCTGGACCTTTTTCCTCCTGTGGGTCATTTTACAGATGATCGTCCGTGGCCTGTTTCTGTCAAAACGCCCGAGTCTATGCGCAATGTCTATGTCGTTGCTCTGTATATCCACCTCCAAAGAATCCTTTACAAATGTCACTACTTTCTCTACACACTCCTCAATTGTTTCTTTATCCCTTGTATCGCTAAGGCCAACAATCCTGATTGAATTTTTCCTGCCTTGTTGTTCCAAATCATTTACTTTATACACTAGTCCAGTATTCATACTGTCTGATTCTGTGGCTCGTTCTTCTAATTTTTCCACTTTCTCTTTCAAGCTGTCGTTCTCTTTCTCGAGGTCGAAAATTCTTCCTTCGAGCTGATCGACGAGCACACGGTTTTCCTCCCTGATATCCTCTCTCAATCTTTCTAACTTTCTGTCCATGATTGTATCCATATCCGACTTTGTCACAAGAGTTGAGATCATTTCAAAAATCTCATCAATCCTGTCTCTTCCTGAGGATTCACTAGAAAAGTCTGAACTTCTGGTTTTTGTTCCTGCCTTACCAACACCGACACTGCTTCTCGACCTCGGCATGGTTGTATAGTCCACTAACAGAATGTATATAAGTTATACCTGTACAGGTAAGTCGTACACACAATAGGCGCGCGTTAACAGATGTCACGTACTAGTGGTCAGTCCATTGTCTTGAATTTGTATTTCAGTTACATAAATAATACAAAATTTTCCTTGAAAGTTCTTCAAGAATATCTAATTACATTTCTTCAAATAGCCATATACCAAAAAAGCAGCATGATCAGTACGTTAGAAAATAAGTAATTTTGATAAAGTTAACGGAGCCAAAAAACCACCCGACTAACCAGATCTGAGTGACCTTGACCTTCCTTGTGTATTAATTTGAAGCCAGGGGAGTCAAACCAAAGAGGGTTTTGCGAGAATTGTCATCATGATATAGGTTGTTTCAAATGGTGTGCCTTCCCGAACAATTAAACGATTATAAACTTGCGTTAAAAATTAAAGAATGTGAAACTGATCATGGCCCTTCGTATTCTCAACCCTGCTGATTAATGGTGAAATTTAGTTTTTAGTAACAGTGACCTTGACATTTTGGCCACAATGACTATGTCATTTGGGCGATTACTACGCTCAAATGTGAACCGGTCCAAGGTATGTTGAGGTTAAAATATATATGAAGTTTCATCAAAGTTGCCTGGGAATACAGCTGCTAGAGTTTGACAGGAAGGAAATGCGAAATTATATTATCCAATTACAATAATAAAAATGTCATAAGCGGAGGTATACATGTAGATATATTTCACCTCAAAGTGTTTCCCCTTATCCCATGCATGTGACCTTTGAGCCTTTAACCTTGACTGATGTCCAACAAAATCGTATCAGGTATAGGACCAAACGTTATCATTCTCTGTTGTAAATATTCACTAAGTTTGGTGAAGTGTTCCTTGTAAGTCTTGTATACAAGCTTTTGACTTCAAAAGTGGTTAATTTCTTATCTTTGACCATGACTTTTAACCCCTGTAACCTTGGCCAATCAACACCAAATTATTATCACGAAAGTACGCAAACAAGAACGCACAGACAACGTGATAACTATATATTTTCTCACTAAGTGAGGGTGGTATAGCAATGACCTTGACCTTTAAACAAAAAGCCTGTGTTCGAGATGTACAAGGTATGGTAACCAGCAGGAAGTTTCATCACAATCTGCCAAGAAATACAGTCGTTCGATAAATTGAGTCTGTGCTTTCACACATTTAGCTAACATTAGCTTGTCCGAGCTATGTCGAAAGTTAACCGTCTATCAAAATAAAGCCGTTAGTAAGGCGATAATGTATATAATAGGCAGACGGACGGGTGGCACATATACATGATATAACCACGCTGGAACATTATTTACTGTATTATTCACATAATCATACAAAGACAGAAACCCGATTCTTGTTTTCATTATCACGCTGATTATGAATACAATATAATATCTACATCGAATAGCTAGATAACTGTTTTGTCTGTACTAGATATATTTTACTTACTTCAGTTGAATATTTCTTCCATGAAAGTGGGATATCGCATGGCTTCGTGCAACCGCAAACATCAAGAACGCATGCTTCAGGGTCTTCATCATCAAGTACAATCTCCAACTCGCCGATCGCCACCAAATCATTAGCATCTGATTATGAAAAACGACAAAGGATCGACTTGGTTATCCATTTTTATCGAGAATTAGTACTACTATTTCTACTACATCTACGACTACTACTACTACTACTACTACTACTACTACTACTACT